TTCGCCCCAAGGGCGAATGACTGGCGAGCCAAACCCTAAACCCTACACCCTAAACCCTAAACCCTAACAGTCCTCCACGCAGCTTTATCTCTCTTGGCCATGGTTTCTTATTTGCTTTCGCCCCAAGGGCGAATGACTGGCGAGCCAAACCCTAAACCCTAAACCCTAAACCCTAAACCCTAACAGTCCTCCACGCAGCTTTATCTCTCTTGGCCATGGTTTCTTATTTGCTTTCGCCCCAAGGGCGAATGACTGGCGAGCCAAACCCTAAACCCTAAACCCTAAACCCTAAACCCTAACAGTCCTCCACGCAGCTTTATCTCTCTTGGCCATGGTTTCTTACTTGCTTTCGCCCCAAGGGCGAATGACTGGCGAGCCAAACCCTAAACCCTAAACCCTAAACCCTAAACCCTAACAGTCCTCCACGCAGCTTTATCTCTCTTGGCCATGGTTTCTTACTTGCTTTCGCCCCAAGGGCGAATGACTGGCGAGCCAAACCCTAAACCCTAAACCCTAAACCCTAAACCCTAACAGTCCTCCACGCAGCTTTATCTCTCTTGGCCATGGTTTCTTATTTGCTTTCGCCCCAAGGGCGAATGACTGGCGAGCCAAACCCTAAACCCTAAACCCTAAACCCTAAACCCTAACAGTCCTCCACGCAGCTTTATCTCTCTTGGCCATGGTTTCTTATTTGCTTTCGCCCCAAGGGCGAATGACTGGCGAGCCAAACCCTAAACCCTAAACCCTAAACCCTAAACCCTAACAGTCCTCCACGCAGCTTTATCTCTCTTGGCCATGGTTTCTTATTTGCTTTCGCCCCAAGGGCGAATGACTGGCGAGCCAAACCCTAAACCCTAAACCCTAAACCCTAAACCCTAACAGTCCTCCACGCAGCTTTATCTCTCTTGGCCATGGTTTCTTACTTGCTTTCGCCCCAAGGGCGAATGACTGGCGAGCCAAACCCTAAACCCTAAACCCTAAACCCTAATCCGTGTGTTGTGTATGGGGAGTCCTGGAGAACGTGGGCTAAACCCTACAAGACCCAAACCCTAAACCCTAGAAACCCCCTGCTTTCTACAGCGGTATGAGGCGGGGGAGCCTCAAACCCTAAACCCTAAACCCTAGCACGGGGTTGTCTGCTGCGGGGATGGCACTTGCTACAGCAGCGCGGTAATGTTTCGAAGCGTGTGAGGGTTTGCGAGGGGCGTGTGGGTGAAACCCTAAAAAAGGGTTTGCGGTTTGGTGCGCGCAGGGATTTCGGCGTTTTTTTGTTTGAGCGAGTTGTCGACTCCTTTGCTGCACCTGCGGTGGTTTCTGCTGCAGCACAAAGCAACAAAAGGGTGTTTATTTTGGATTTGCAACTGCGGTGCTGCTGCTGTTTTCATTTTGTACAGATTAATAATAATGCCGCTGCTGCTGCTGCACCTTGCTGCGGACTGGGCCGCGGGGTGTACGTACACCTCAGCAGCCACGCCCCTCCGCAAAACCTCTTTTGCTGCTTCTTGCTGCTGCTGGCTTTTCCTCAACTTCTACTGGGGTTTTCTGTTCCTCAAAACCCTCCAAAAGCCCAGACGCAAGCGCGACTAAACCCTAAACCCTCCAACTGAAACCCTAAACCCTCCCAACCAGCCTCTGGAGCCTCCCGCTGCCTCCAAACCCTAAACCCTCACGGCAGCTACAAGCCCTAAACCCTCGCGCCGGCTCCAAACCCTAAACCCTTTCGCCGGCTCCATACCCTAGACCCTCGCGGCGGCTCCAAACCCTAAACCCTCGCGGAGTTCCCAACCGTGTGGCCAAATCCGGCCTCCCAACTCCAAGTTTCAAACCCCCGCGAGTTCTCTAAACCCTAAACCCCCAGGTACAAACCCTAAACCCTTCCTCGGGCAGGGCCTGCGCCAAGGCAGGGCTTGGGGCCTAGGGTTTAGGGTTTGGGGTTTAGGTCTTAATGCGCTCTTGTCCTTTTCTCCTTCTCCTGATTCTTCAGCAGCAGCAACTAGCGGGGGCTGCTGCCAGCAGCTAGCCAACTGGTGGCTAGCTACCTAGCTAGCTAGCTGGCTAGCTAGCTGGCTAGCTAGCTGGCTAGCTAGCTGGCTAGCTAGCTGGCTAGCTAGCCGCGCTCTGCGGGCCCGGCTAGCCAGCTAGCTATCCGTGCTCTGGGGGCCTGGTGGTGGGCCAATTATGGCCCCAGCTAGCTGTGGCAAGCTGTGGCTAGCTGTAGCTAGCTGTGGCTAGCTGTAGCTAGCTGTGGCTAGCTGTAGCTAGCTGTAGCTAGCCGGGGCTAGCTGTGTTACCCCGCGGCCCATTGAGCAGCGCGGGGAGGGCCACTCGCGTTGAAACGCGTAAGCCTTAAACCCTAAACCCTAAAGCCCAAACCCTTTTTTGGGGTTCTCCTGCGACATTTGTGGGCCTTGGTGGGGCCCCTTTAGCTAGCTAGCCAGGCAGCCACAGCTAGCCACAGCTAGCCAGATAGGCGTGGCTAGCCATAGCTAGCCACAGCTAGCCAGCTATTTGCCTGGCTAGCCATAGCTAGCCATGGCTAGCCAGCCATGGGCCTAGCTAGCTATAGCTAGCTATAGCTAACTATAGCTAGCTATAGCTAGCTATAATATAGATATAGCTAAAGCTAGCCACAGCTAGCCACTGCTATCCAGAGTTAGCCACGTATGGGCGTAGCTAGCCATGGCTAGCCATGGCTAGCCATAGCTAGCCATGGCTAGCCATAGTGACTGCAACAGCAAGCCCACACCCTATCTAACGAAACGCTAAACCCTAGAGCAAACCCTAAACCCTATGCCAAACCCTAAACCCTCGCTGCCCCAGCAGCATTCTCTCAGAGAGATCTGAAATTGCTTGAGGCAAAACCGCGCCTAGGGTTTAAAGGCTGGCTAGCGTTTATACTCTGAACCTGAGGGTTTAGGGTTTAGGATTTAGGGTTCAGGGTTTAGGGGTTAGGGTTTATCTCACCTATGCATTCTTTTGCTTCAAGACATGGCAGCAAGCCGAGAGCACTACTGGGGGCCTCCGGGGCCCCCCCGGAGCCCCCAGTACCCTTTTAGGGGCCCTTCAATTAATAAAATGAAATAGAAGGTTAAATTAAAATAAATAATTTATTTTAATTTTATTTTGTGCGATTTGTTTAGCTGCGGCGGCGCAGCGTGGTGTACAGACACCGCAAGCTGGACCGATACAATCGGCGGCTGATCCTGCAGCAGCAGCAGCAGCAGCAGCAGCAGAAGCTGCTGCTACTGCTGTTAATGTAACGACAAGAGGAGCTGCTGCAACAGAGGCAGCTTCCTTTGCAGCAGCAGCAGCAGAAGTACTACACACCAAGTGCCGCAGGCGACGCCTGGTTCTGCTGTTGCTCCTGCTGCTCCCGTCGGTTGCAGCTGTTGCTGCTGCTGCTGCTGCTGCCGCTGCCTCTGCTGCTGCTGCTGGGCATCAAGATCTCCTGGACTTTCAGCAAATGGCCGGGGCGGCTTTTGAGCTGCAGGCTGGGGGCAGCCTTGGCTTAGGTGCAGCAGCCCCAGCAGTG